AAATCTATCATTAAAGGTTGTTTAGATGCTGGAAAACCCTCTAATTGAGCATCTCGACATCGAGATGTATGAATATGAAAATAAGAAAAAATTTCAAGTCTGCAAAATAGTGTATCTTGCAACACATTATCTGGACCGTCCATTTTCAAGATTTTCTCACGTTTATAGGTCTACTTGATTTGAACCATTTTTAGAGTTTAAATTTTATAATTAGAGATGAAAATAGATTCTCAAGCCATCCTAAGAATTCTTTGTATCAAAATTACATTTAAGATAAAATTTAGAGGTGCGCCTTAATTGCATTGTTGAAGGTTGCAACCTTATACAAACCACACCCTATATATATATATATATATATATATATTTGGTCTTTTTGCTGATAACACAAGAAGAGAAGATGGATGCATCAAGTTGCACGAACCTAAAGGTGCACAGACAAACATAGAACTATGCATGGGTAGTAAAATCCTAGAACAATAATTGCATAGATGTCATTTCCAATTTATCAATTAGAACATCAACTTTTCTTCTTCTTTTTCGAGAGAATTTAACATTGTATTGATGAAAGAATTTTGAATATCAACTTTATTACTGGATTGCATCTTATGCAGCTCACACAAAAGTTTTACAGAAATGTTGAAGCACTAACAAATTTAAATGTGCGCTAAATAGAACCTGCAACAAAAATACTTCGGAACAAAGTTGAAACAATTCTCTTTTTTGACTTTTTTGTAAAGGGATTACCTTGCCCATTATGGTTCTGGTAGATCCCAATTTTTGTAAGGGACGCTGGACCCAGCACTTGTATTTACTTCTTTCTTTATTCAATGAAAGAGTTAACTATATCCAAAAAAAAAAAAACAAAGTTGAAACAATTGCAAGAATGGGGAAGGTTATCCAGAAGATTAATGTATTGGAAACGAACTAAAATAGCACCACGACATGGTAGTACATAAGCTAGATGCGCTATTAATGTGTGTCAGCCGGGTGCACTAACATTACTCCATGACTCATAGGCAATGCAATTGCACCCCTAAAGTGGTGGCAGATCTTGAGGGCCAGCTCTTTCTAGTTAGTAAATTAACCCAAGGGGCCAGTGCATCTCCCCTAGGATTGTTTAATTTATTTGAGTCATTTGTTCCCATACTTCTTAGGATGGAGAAAGCAAGAACAACATTTGATTAACCTACTATATTAGGGGGCTAAGGGAGTTGTACCACATATTTCTTCGGATATGGGGGACAACCAGCCTGCATATTAATTAATATAAAATATTAAGGTGGTAACTGCCCCATTCTTTTTCAAATTATGTAACTACTCCATTTTAACAACAGGGATTAAACTTTAAATATGGGATTCAGCCTTTCGCCTCTTTTTTATCATATTCTAAGAATATGCAAATCAATCAACTTATTAATATATTTCTAGACAAATATATATCACATGCATAATTGATTTTCTTATAATAGTTCATAATTTTTTTTAACAATTACCATTTTCAAATTTCTAAATTTTTATTTTCAAATATTATTATTTCATATGTGTGTTTTTTTTTCTACCTATAATAATTATCGCATATTAACCTCAGAAGCTAGAATAATGCGTTGACAATGTTCCAATATCGGGCCGCAAATTGCATGGGCTTAGAGCGCCCACCCCAGGTGGCCCATCTGCCTAGAGGCCCTCCTCTTGCCCTAGTAGAGCTACAGGAGTGGTCTATGCCCGCTTCAGATCGCTTACCTAAAAAAACAAAAAAAAAAGAAAAGAACAAGTAAATGCATAGTCGCTTGTGTAAAAAGTACCCATTGATCTATTTCATCGTCAGCATCATCATTCATCATCCGAGCCTATCCCAACTATTTAGGGTCAGCTACACAAAAATTGTTCTATCATTCCACTCTATCAAGGACCATACCATCAATCAGACGTCTCTATTGAACTATTTAAGAAATCATCATCATCATCAAAAGCCCTTTCCCAACTATTGGGGTCGGCAAATGAATCCTGGTCTGCCGTTTTGCTCTATCAAGGGCCCTACTCTTAGTGAGGCCACAAGTCCCCATATTCATGTTCTTTTGGGGCTACCCCTTGCCCTTTTTGAGCCTTCCACTTGAACTAACTCGTACCTCCTAATAGGTGTTGTACTGGGTCTGTGTTGCACATGGCCAGCCCACCTAAACCTACTTTCTCCCATCTTATTGCCTATTGGAGCCACACCTAAGGTCTTCCAAATGTATTCATTTCAAATACTATCCCTTCTTGTCTTGCTACTCATCTATCTCAACATCCTCATTACAACTACACTCATTCTATGGGTATGTTATTTCTTGACCGCCCCATATTCTATCCCATAGAGCAAAACCAGTCTCGCACCTATCTTATATAACTTACCCTTCAGCTTCATTGGTATGTTGTAATCACATAAAACTCTAATTACAGATCTCCACTTTGCCACCCAAACTCAATCTTACCATTTTACTGGATTATCGACCCAAAATATCAAAAGTGCGTTCTTTTTGGTATTTCTTGACCGTCAATTTTAACTACGTCCTCATCTCTACTCCTATTATCACTAAGCTTGTATTTCATATACTTTGTCTTAGTCTAGCTAATTTTAAAACCTTGAGATTCTAGAGCATCCCTCCAAAGTTCTAACTTTGTGTTGACGTTGTTTCAGGTCTCATAGATCAAAACTATGTCATCCGCGAACAACTTACACCACAATATCTCATCTTGTAAGTGCCTAGTTAAGTCCTGCATAACTAAGACAAAGAGATATAGGCTCAACGCTGACCCCTAATGTAGACTTATTGTCGCTGAAAACTCACTCGTTTCTCCACTAATTGTTGCACACTAGTTGGCACTCCTTCGTACATATCTCGCACCAAGTCAATGTAGTATCTAGAGACTCTTTTCTTTTCCAACACCCACCAAATTAGATCTCGAGGTAATCTATCATAAGTTTTTTCTAGATCCATAAAGACCATGTGGAGGTCTTTTCCCTTCGCCCTAAACTTCTCAATCAAATGCCTAAGTAGGAAAATAACCTCAATTGTTAACCTCCCTAGATTTTCTAATACACTTGTTTCATGCTTAGTCTCCATCACTCTCTCTTACAGCTTCATAACGTGGCTCTCTCTTACAACTTCATAGTGTGGCTCTCTCTTACAGCTTCATAGTATGGCTCATAAGTTTGATCCCTCGATAGTTCGCACAATTTTGTATGTCTCATTTGTTCTTATAAATAGGTACCATATGCCTATTTAAGTTTGACCTATTTAAGAAATAATATTTTGAAAAAAAAAAAAAAGAAGCAGGGAAGAATGATTTATGAATTGCCATACGCCTTCCTCGATTTCCCATACATTTGCATGATTGATGGATGTCCATGCCTATCTCGTTACAAATGGAAGAAGAGAACAATTGAGCTCATGGACACGTATGTACACATTAATCTACTTACCAATAATATTTTAAAAAAGGATGTCAAAAGGAAATGAAATATATAATACCTAGACATGATTCGAACAGAAATGAGAATACCCACAGCAATTTAGACAACAAAATATAAGATACAAGAGAAATATGAAGTCCAATTGATTGAAGCTCAAAGTTTTCAAGCAATAAAAAATACTGCTATCACTTCTTGTGACTAATTTTTCATGAGTCATAATTAATTCTTATGGCATAAAGACACATTCAAGCATGGGTGCAGGACATTCAAACTACTCGGAAAACTGAATTTGGTCATATTGTTTAAATTTGGGGTCTCGTGTCATATCCCACAAAAGATACAAGTTGAAAATTCAACAGTTACCTGTATATTGCTATGTTCTGCAAGTTCTATTGCAGTATTATAGTACGACAAACGCAGCATGTAGTCCACAAGAATTCGCTTCACCCTTATGTCACTCCACTCACGTTGGTTTCCAACTTGAAGCATCCCCAAGTGATCCAATCGGGCTCGACATCGTTGAGCTTGCAACTGCTCAGTCTTATTACTCTCCTCTAGCTGAAGGTAGAAAAGAGAAGCTAAGTGGAGACATGAACTATCCAATATAGATCACAGATAACTATCATGGGCTTCCTAAGAAGCCACAAATGAGTTTTAAAAAACAACAAGAAAACAAAAACATGCCTAATTAAAAGGGTGAATATCATCCAATGTATCATTTAAAAGCAACTAATGCAGGTATTCCTTCAGGTTGCCCCAGATATATTGCAGTTCATGATTTTAATGAGAGAATAGAATTCATCAAATGTGACGTGAAGCAACCAACCATTGACTGCATCGCACTTCCAACAATTCGAGTACTACTCTACTATGGTCAAGTTTAAGTTTGAATCAACATCAGCAGACAGAAAAGCAATCCGATGAACTACTCATCAAGGATATAACAAAAAAACATGCAAACATTGACCACCAAAAAAAACACATGCAGGTTTAGAAAGAAAAACAGAGGTTTATTGCAATAAACATGTATATCTGCAGAGGCTACTAGTCGTGAGCATCTTTTAAAAAAATGATAACAATGATCACCATAATAAGCATTGTAAGCAATCAAAGTAAATATAATGCTATAATTGCCAAAGCATATCTCTGTTTTGAATAGGTTTCCATTCTACCCCATTTTGTTCAATCAAGTCGTATTAACCACTAAGCTATACGCATCTACTTCCATAACAAGAAAAATAAGTCACTGAACACCAGCTTGAGGCAATCTAAAAGCAACTCAATGGGCACAAACATAGAAAATTAAGTGAACCAAAATAACTTTATAAATGTTTTCCATGTTTTCAATTATCTTGGACATTACATCAGAAAAAAAAGACAAACAAAAATAATCACAAAAGCTCAGGGAAATTTCAATGGTTTTCAGATGACCAAGGCAATATTTAATAGCATAACAAGGTGAGACCTGTCATCTATCATCTTACATTTCTTGAAGAAATTAAAGATTAACAAAAACCTAAGAAAAAATTCAGACATCCCTAACAAAAACTTCAACCATTTTCAACAAGCAAAAAAGATAAATTCAAGCATTTCCGTGTTCCTTAATTATTTCCCCCAATCCCAAAGCGCATAAGTTTATTTTTCCAGATAAATTAAACTTTATTTCTATGCAAATTAACATTCAGTGGTCAATTTTCCATAAAGAAAAGCCTAAAAGAACAAACCATAGAAGAAGGTCGTCTAACCTTTCTCTTTAGACCCTGTAACCTAGAAACGAGAGAGGTGAGGTGATGAACCGCTTCTTCTCTGGACATGTCTCGATCTGAAACCTCGGCCACAGTCAACATTACAGCACTCATTTCTTTCTCCACCATTCTGTGGTTCACTCTCATGGATTTCTTGAGATGCTCAAAGGGAACCTTCAAGAACTGGTGCTCAAGTTTTAGACTCTCCTCTAAATTGCTCATCTTCGATGGCGGAGCAGGGACAGGGGCTGACGGAGCAGAATCGCCATTCTGAAGAGGCTCTGGCTCCATGATCAAATTGTACACACCTGACAAAGAAAAAACTAGCTATGGCTGTGCCCCCTCTGCGATTTCATGGAGGAATCAACTGTAACACCCGATAAATGGAAACCCTAACCCTAAAGAAATAAAGAAGCAAAGAAGAATCTTCTTATGAGGAAAACCAGTGTGTTTTGCAGGGACGACTTTTAGAAATTAATAAATGAGATTGTGTTGTACTCGCACGAGAGTAAATTGTATAGTTACGCCATTGGGCATCTCACCAAATTGGTGTATTAAAGAAGGAAAAAATTTATATAGAGCTGAGGCTCTAAACAATAAAATTAGAGCCCACCTCAAAAATTTCACTAGAACAAGTTGTTTTGATGTCCAAATATCCTCGAATGGATCATCTCAACATCAAAATGTATGGACATGAGAAAAAAATAGAATTTAAATTTCGAAAATATTGCATCTTGTAATGTATTTTTTATCCATCAATTTTCAAGTTTTCATAGATTTAATCAATCTACACTATTTTAAATTTTTAAATTTTATAACTAAATATAAAAATATATTTTAAAGCTGTCACAAAGATTTAAACCACTTTCTTGATGCTACTTAAAGGTGTGTTATACTTTGATGGTTTAGAGCCTCAGCTCTCTACAAAGGGCACCCATTAAAGAACTCCTCCCAATTTTTCAATTTTAATTTTAGCCTATTTTATTTTATTTATTATTCTCAAATTGCCGGCACTTCCTATTTTCAAGATCTAAAGTAAGAGCACTAATTTCATGCAAACGGTTGTATCATAGTATAATGCAACCACACTCCTAAAAAACCATGTTTATAGTATTTGTATGACCCAAAATTTTGTACACACACTCTCTCTATCTCAATAATCAATCAATAATAATAATAATTTAAACCTTATATAATCGAAATGAATCCCTTCAAACAATGAATCGAGACCGTCCATTTTATGAATTTCAAGACCCTTGTATTTATGAAATGAAAATCATTTTATCTTTTTCAATATTGTTAACCTAATGATAATAAAATTATTTAAAAAAATTGGAAAGAAAAAAGATCATTCCAAGGCCTAGATCTAAGCATCTCACCAAAATGAATGGCCTATATTAATTGGGTTAGAAAAGTACTTTCCAGTTTGCGTTTTCAAATTTTTTTTTTTATGATTATTCATTAGAATGAAAAAAAATGTATATTTAAAATTTGGATCAAACAAATGGCTCTAACATGATTTTTTAAGGCTGTTACATTATATTACTTTACGACCGTTGCATGAAATCACTACCCCTAAAGGGGTTTATTCATAGCTATTTTTGTTTGATTCAAATTCATAATTGTTTGAATTGTGTAATCTCCAACTACTGATATTGGTAACCGACCCAACATAATTTAATTACAATTCAATTTGTGAAGATTGTAGGTGCAAAGTTCATATTCTTCAGTCCCACTTACCACAAAATATACAGATTCCAAAATCAATACTATAATTAAGCAATCTTTTTTTGTCTAATATTTGTTTTGAATCTCCAATCAACAACGAGTAGATCTATCAGCCCTATATATAAAGTCAAGTTCCGAAGTGATGGCAAGAAATAAAAAAGAGATTGTATATTACAAAGATATCACAATTATTCTTAGCTATTAAATGTGAAATCTAATCTGTTGAGATGTGTCACAACATTCAAAAAATTCCATTTTGGACATTGTGCCTAGCGAATGACACATCTCCAACCACCAGTTTTGACAACTAATAGCTAATAATGGTTGTGAGCTCCTTATACCAAAAGTAAATAATCTTATTGTATATATTTTTAATAAAAAATATGGAGGAGAAAACGGCTATATAAGGGGCTGACTTCGGATCCTAGTCTCTTTCTCGCTTTGGATACTAAAGATATGAAGTGGTGGCAACTTAGCAATAAGTAAAAAAAAAGAAAAGGTAGGCACATAAAATAGAAAAATTTGGATACCGAAGATATAAGTGGTGGTAATTAGCAATAAGGAAAAAAAAGAAAAAAAAAAGGTAGGCACATAAAATAGAAGAATTAAGAATATTTCTTTAATATCTCTAATTTTGGGAGACATTAGTGTAAATTTATCCTTCATGGTGTTTTTGCAATTTTTTCTTGGATGGGTCTCTAGCTTGACTCAGTTACATCCCAAATTTTTTGGGTTATGAAAACTAGGATCTTACGTGGGGGAGCAATTATTCAGTTCTCTCTTGCAAGAGCCTAACATTTTATAATTTAATATATAAAAATTTAGCAGCTTTAAATAATTTATAGATGTTGTTTAACTTGTAAGAACCAAGTATGAAAGGCTCTTAGCTTGTAAGAATCAAGTGTGAAAAGCTTTGAGCATGCTGAGGCTGGTTAAGATTCAGTCATATCATCCACACATGGAGAATCAATAGAGTAGCATGAAACCAAGATCAAGCAGTAGAACAAGGAGAATATGTAGAAACCAAAACAACAGGTATTGGCAGGAAAACTCAATGATATCATGGACTCCCCATTAGCTCTCAAAAACAAAATGTCAGCTATGGTTTTTCATTGGCTAATTACCAAACTCCAATTCGCAAATTCAAAAATGGGTCTAAAAACCTCAATTCTAATCAAATTGCACAAGTTCCCAACCTCCAAGCCCTAACACAACAAAAATGTTTTTGATATCACGACAGAGTCCAAGACAACCGACTAATTCTACGAAGGTCGAAGAGGCGGTAGGTGAACAGTGTGCTACCCAAGTGGAAGTGCAAGAACAATGTAGTACTATACTCAATGCAGGTGATAAATGTGTCACCAACAAAGAAGGAGACCAATACTCCACACATAGTGAAGCAGACAAACAATACGGTTCAACATGGTACTGAAATAAAAAATAATCCAGAAGAAAAATAAGAGAATTCATTACCTTTGAAGAAATGCTTGGAGAGGATTGGATGTATGCCAGACTTGGAAGAAAGAACTAAATATAGAATTGGCACAGAAATAAAATAAAATGAATTGTAAAATCTCTTAATTCAGAGTATAGAGTTAGGAATAATGATGCGTGCTCTTGCAGTCATGTAGACACAGTGGGATTGTAAGCTAGAGTTTGCAGTCATGAACCTATGTAAACACTTATTGAGAATATTAATACAACATATGGGATTCCTGCTGGTAGCAAAAAAGAGAAAAACAAAAAAGTACGAAATTTTAAAGGAAATTTTATGAGGAAGTAATAAATATTTTATAATAATAATGGACTTTGTGGGTATATTTTTTGGGGATTGTCTCCAAAGATACCATTTATCTTTTATACATGGAGGTCACTATTATTATTGCCCTTTAAATTTCAAAACGGGTAGTTGCAAGAGTGTCATTGAATAGACACAAAGTTCAAAAAATAATAATCTCAGGCTTCGTGACTCACCCCAAACCATCCAATATGGCATCTAATGAATGTGAATGATTGTGACCTCTATATATAAAAGATAAATGGTTTCTTTGTAAACAATCCCTATTTTTAGATAATAAAATTTTATTATGAGCATAATGGACATGTCTTGAGTGTCATCGTATCAAATCAATCAATGGATTGGGCAGAAATAGAGTTTTGAACTGGCATTCAGGTCATGCCGTGTGCTATGGGCCTCATTCTCTATTGATCACCGTCCAACCTACTGATATGTCGGTGATGAGCCTATTGGTTACATGTCCCATGTGGCCATGATCATATATATACCATATAGATACTAGTCTATAGATTATGAGGAAACACAACCAATCCCATTGTAAAAAAAATTTGAAATTTCATATTTGTTAGATTTAAAAACAAATTATATTAGACATGAGTTATTTGAAAAATTGTATTTAAGATAAAAAATATCATATTTGTTAATTATATGAGAAAATTTTTTAAGGAGATGATACAAATTTGAGAACTTTGCAAGCCTTATTTTGTAGGGAAGAAATACTTTCTCTATATTTTAAGAATAAAAATATGTAAAGAAAGTGTTGTGTTTCTTATGTTCTAAGCAATAAATTAAATTTATTTAAAATAAAATTTATTTATGCATTTATGAAAACCTCACTCCTTTGTCGAGATATTAGCATTTTTAAGAGAGGGGGTATATATAACCCAAACCTTCATGCAATTCATATATGTTTTAATTGGATGAGCATTTTAGTAATAGAATATCAACTAAAATAAAATGTTCAAGTGGGAAATTTGTTTATCATTTGTAAATAAAAAGACTAAATAATAATAATTCTCATTCTATCAACTAAAATAAAATGTTTAAGTAGAAAATTTGTTTATCTTTTGTAAATAAAAAGACTAAATAATAATAATTTTCAAATCTATTATAACTTTATATAGGATTGGAAACCGTATTCATTAAAAATTTAAGACACTTCTAGGGAGATACTTCACTTTGAGAGAATGAATGTATGTCTAAAATCTCAATTGTCCTTGATTTGGATTTACATATAGTATTAAATCAAGGGTGCAGTTTGCATACAGATGCATCTGTAGGTGTAGATGTAAGGTGCACCTTCAAATTTTATCATGGTATATAATTTTGATGTAAAATGTTCTTAGGATTATCTCAAAATCTATTTTTATATCTAATTATAAAATTTTAAATTTCAAAAATGGTTAAAATCAAGTAGATCTATAAACATATGAAAATCTTGAAAATGGATGGTGTAGATAATATGTTGTAAAATGCACTATTTCTTAGACTTAAGATCTTTTTATTTTTCATAGTCATACATCTCGATCTCGAGATGATCAATCAAATTTTCAACATTAAAACTACCTTTTTCGATGGATTTTTTAGGGGCATCCGTAGTTCTACATCATAAGGTATCATCCTTATATAAACTTTTTCCTTAAATCAATATACATCAACTCATTTTAAGTATAATATGTGACATTTATAATATGTGACATTTTCCCAATAGTGATGATCAATTGAAATGGAAAGCCACAATTGTGTGATGATGATGGACAAACAACATTACAAGGAGCTAGTATATTTAGCATACATTAATAGAAGAAGATTGTATACTATAAGAGTATTCTTCATTGCTACAAGGAGGTCACAATTGCTTATAGCTATTAGATGTCAAATTAGATAGCTTAGGGTGTGTCATAAAAT